ACTTACGTACAATCCATAAATCTGAATAATAGCGCCAAATAAATATCGATCGAAATTGAATTAAGTTCAACCCAATTTCGTAATACTATCAGTAAAATAAGCATATAACAATAAGGAACATGGTAATATTAAGTTTGTATTTCTTAAAAGGTAGCAGTCCCTTTATATTAATTTTGCAATTAGTAACAACATGACCAATTAACATTGTAAAAAAATAGTGTTAAGTTATTATCAATGATGTCAATATTGTTATTGAAGTAATGTAACTTTTATTTCGTACAATAAAATTAGGTTTCACAGATTCGGGTGCACACTATGTATAATACAATACACGCAGTTCTAGTTCATCAAGTGAATAATATATTAATTAATATAATATAATATATAATATAATATAATTAATATATTAATTAATATAGTAATTATAATATATTAACAATGAAACTATAGAATATACTGAAATTCAAGAAGGTAACATATTCTGTGCTGCAAATGAGCAATTTGAAATATTGAAAAGCGCGGTGATACTTGAAACGATTTTATATGTAGTGTATATGTGTATATGTATGTTTTCAAATAGTACATATTCAGTACTCGTAGCAGAAATGAAATATGCAGAATATTCGCTCCTTGCTAACGAGTCTAATTTCGTAATCTATCGGTAACGCTGGGCGCGATACAAAGTGGTAATCTCTCTTAAAAGTCCCTAGTCCTTTCAGAAAAGTTTTTTGGATATTTCTCAAAAAGAATAGGCGAGCAATTGAAATTAACTGGTTAATATTGATTATTACGATGTGCCAGCTTCACACGTGTGGATCTTATAAATAAAACTCGACTATGAATCCGCCCAATGTATATTTCCTTTCCCCTACTATGCACTGCTTACGTTTATTTTAATATGTGCGTACAGTGTTTAGCAACAACTAAGAGACAAAATTTATGGCATGATTCTTCAGGACAATGTAAGTCGAAAATCAGAAGTACAAGAATTACGATTCCAGATTCATTTAAATTTATTAAGAATTAAAAGAAGTGCGAAAGGCTGAGAAACCGCAGTGTTCGCGCAGTACTATTGGTCGTCCTTGATTATTAATAACTTAAAAACAAAAACAAAATTGTAATTTTTGGTACTTGTTTTTTTATCATATGTTGTCATCAAGAATCATTCTTGTATTTTGTTTCATCTGTAACAGAACTTAAATACATTGTACGTACGTACATTATACTATATTTTTAATATGAAATAACAAGAAAAATTATTTTCTTAGTATATACATGTTGCGATTATGGTAAACTATTAATTATTACACTGTATATTTATGTATATTAATATTTTTAAGTTAATATTAAGTTAATAGGAAAATTTGTAAGGAATATAATGTATAATAAAATTGTTTTGAAAATACATTTGCAATCACTGCAAATGTATTTTCAAATCGAATCTATTCGGTCAATTTCGATTTATTACTTATTTCTTGTTCATAAGATTGTTAATCATCATGATGGTTAGTTCATCACTACGTAGTTCTGTTTTGCTCGGTTCGGCTTAGTTCGGTTCAATTCGGCACTGCTCTTCTTAACAGCACATAGCGAATGGATCGGTATAAGATAGTAACAGAAAAGTGCAGGTTGGCGTTTCTCATAAGTCTCAAATCAAATTATCCATTTTAGTTAAAAGTTTCTTCAATCGATGCTATTTTAATGCCTTAAAATATGATACATCTTATGAAATTTATTTTGTGCTTTTATGTCGTTTTATGCGCATTAAGCACTAAAGCCGATGACAATCAAGTTCCATTAACCAAACTTGGCACGAAATCAGGATCGACGTTAAAATTCTTTTATTGGTAAGATATACGACATTTTTTTAACATTTAAAGTAATTCATTTCTATATCTTCTATAAGGGGCACTTCGGTTTTCTTAATGTGCGACAATCTTATTAGCTTTTGTCGATTAATCGCTTACGAAATATTTTTTTTATATATCTTTGATTTTTCAGCTACTCTTGTGGATACAGGAAAGCATATGAAGACTATGTTGGTATTCTTCGACAAAAATATCCAGAATTACAAATTGATGGAGAGAATTACAATCCCTCTGCAAATATTATGCTTATCGTTAAATTACTAGTAACTATTATTTCTTCTACTTCATTAGAAAAAAAATAAATCCTATATATAACATGTATTTCTTTCCTTTTTTAGAGTTTAGTTAAAATTCTACTAATAGTTCTAGTAGTAAGTGGATTTGATTTTGGACGACCACTGCCGTCTTTTTGGCAATGGTGTATGGACAATCGGTTTTATTCTTGTACAACAATATTTTTTGTTTTTAATATGGTAGAAGGACAACTCATATCGTCAGGAGCTTTTGAAATACATTTCAATGGTCAGCAGAATATTATTATTTTTTCTTGCTTGTTAAATTATAACATATTTTAATGACCTCCCTACACTGTTTTAGATGTTCCTGTGTGGTCAAAGCTGGAAACTGGTAGAATACCACAGCCATTTGAACTTTTCCAAATAATAGATACTCACTTAAATATGCAATATGCGGATATGGATATAGGATAGATTAATGTTATCGAAAAATTCAGTTGCATTTTTATTTGTACCAAATGTTAATTACTATGATTATTAAGCATACGTCTCTGCAACTCTTCGATAATTAAGAAAAATACTGTCATTTTTATTTCTTGTATATGCGTTTCATTAAGAATAATGCTATAGGTGTCTAAATTGGTTAAGATGATAT